CACAAAAAAAAAAAAAAAAATCTTATATGTCTCCCCCACTGGAATGTGAGCAACAAGAGGACAGGGATGTTTGTTTATGTTGCTCTGTTATATCCTCAAATTCTAAAATATTAGCTGACAAAAGGCAGATATTCAAAATATACTGATTAGATGAATGACTCTCAAAATAGTATCAGTAACAACAGTTCCCTGACTGATCAGAATTTCAAATGACAATGAAAACATAAGATCCTATAATAAAATCATTATTGTGTTTCTGCACTCAGCATGAGTGAAGTTTCACTATTTGGCTCGTAATAATTAGCCTAAGCTTATATCACAGTTAGCTGAGATCTTTATTTCCATTCTATTTTTATCCTACAAAGAAAAAACCATTCTTGCAGATAGCAGTATAAGTCATCCTCTCATCAAACTATCTCCATTTTACAATGTGGCATAAAATATAAAACCCTCTGCTGCACAGAATACACATTTTTTTTCACAATACACATTTTTAAAAAGCCACTTCAAATATACCACTGAAAGAACTCAACAGAAGTGCACTCTTCCTGAGGATATTGTGGAAATTTTAAAAACTATAAGAAACAATAATAAAAGTTATCTTTTTTATTATGTCTAAAATTATCAGAATTCAACAAAACAAATGCTAAAAATCTTAACTTGGGCTTGGAGTAGGGGTTGAGTTCTGAGATGGACCCAACGTTAATGAGTACCTACTATATACCAGGTGCTTTACGTGCTATCTCTAGTAATCCTATGAAGTAGGATTTTACTTTACTTTAAAGATGAGGGTCTGAACTCATCACTCAGCTCGAAGTAGAAAGGCCAAGACACAAGCCTAGGTCTAACTCCAAAGTCCACGTTCTTTCCCAAGGGCTTTAGGATTAGATTCAGATTCTAACAGCCGTGCTCCTACACTTGTTATTAACAATGTCCCTTCACAGCAGTGATGAATGACAAAACTACTACTAATTGAAGTGAGGAGGAATGGAGGTAAATGGAGTAGAAAAGAGCCACATACAGTAACTTTGTAGTAAATAAAGCAACTAAAAAGAACTTAAACATTAATTTAATTTTAATGCTTACCCCTGGGATTGCCCATTCTCCACAGTCTTTCCTTTTTATTGCAACGAATTGTAAGATGTTTTTCCCAGAAATGGGGTGGGTGATTTTATTTCCACGTCTATCCTTTTTCCACCTATAAATAGTAATGTAAGGTCAAAACCAATCTAGAACAAAGACCAAGGTTCTATCTCAAGTTTGAGACAAAGTTATAAACATGTTATTTTTCTTTATAATAGAGTATATATATATTTACCTCAAATCAGCTGGTTTTACCCAAAAAAGAGTTTTGTATTAGAAATGTTCTACAGCCAGCCCAGTAGTGCAGCAGTTAAGTTTGTGTGCTCCACTTCGGCAGCCCAGGGTTCGCAGGTTCAGATCCTGGGCGTGGACCGACACACCGCTTGTCAAGCCATGCTGTGGCAGCGTCCCATATAAAGTAGAGGAACACAGGGACGGATGTTAGCCCAGGGCCAATCTTCCTCAGCAAAAAGAGGAGGACTGGCAACAGATGTTAGCTCAGGGCTAATCTTCCTCACACACACAAAAAAAAAGAAAGAAACAAAGAAATATTCCATATTGAGCACTATTATAAACTAGGACAAATGTCTAATTTCCATAAAGGATATT